GCTAAGCATCAGCCCTCCCATAGTCCGAACCCCGCAAGGGGTCCCCCAGCCCCGAGCAGTAGCGCCTAGCAGGTAGTAGCAGCAGCATAGCAGCAGTGGCGATAAATGTACAGGTTTTGCGTTAACTTTCCGTACATACCGTATGGCCGTCAGCTGCTGCTTGTACGGCTCCAATCCCCCGGCGGCGGTGTCAGGTCGCTTAAAGTAGACCTACAGGCGGGGCGCATAACGACGGACGTCATTGGGTGGGGGGGCAGGTACGGCCGAGTTGTAGCGGTGGCAGCGGCATATGTACGTGTGTGTATTTATACATATACACATACAGGTAAACATCGCCCCCTCGTCATGGTGATATGCTGCCACCACCGCCACCACCACCGCCATACACGCCACAGCCGATCCCCTACAGCCGATCTCCTACCCCACTGCCCCGTCCCATATCGCCTCTTGAGTTCCCCGTCCAAAGGGAGATGTTCAGGGCCGTGTATCTATCCCCCAATCCTTCATCCTCGAATCCCCAGCTTTCCCATACCTTCTCCCCCCTCCCCCTTCCCCATCCGTTCTCCCCCAGTCCCAGCCCAAGCCCAGTCAGCCATCCAGCCAGTTCACAACCCTGACTGGCAACAAGGCAGTCAGCCGCCCAGCCAAGCCCACCAAGCGAGCTGCCACCCGACTAGCCAACCAACCGGCCAGCCAGCTAGCCAGCAGAGCACCCCGCTACTCGCCAGCCAGCCCGCAGGCGGGTTCACCAGTCTCAGATCGCACCTTCACTACCACCAGGCCGCCGCTGTCATGAAGGCACAGCAGCGTCTTCAGAAAGCGGCCACCCCCTGGAGTGGGGCGAGGAGGGTGGGAAGGAGGAAGGTGGGGTAGGTGGCAGGGGCACGGGCAGGAGCAGGATTGGGCATGGGTGGAGAGTGTGCGGCGTGGCCAGGAGTTGCTTGCGCGGCTGAGATGATGCGTGTGGTAGTGCGGTATCGACGTGAACAACAGGGTCCAGTGGGCTGGGGGGAAAGGGGGGGAAATGGCCGTATGTGCGGAGCGCAGGGCCAGTCACCGGGGAAAGGGGGAAGAGTAAGGCGCGCGGTCACAGTACAGGATGCCAGCTGCGGCCAGTGCGGTATTGGCTGCAAAGGACGGAGCGGAACGGCGCGTGAAGAAAGGTGCAGTCAGAGGCCATTCGGGTCAGAGGGGAAAAACGCCGCGAGGGGGAAAGACAGGGCTTGCAGAAGGTGATAGCTGCGGCAGCGAAAGATGTAAGAGGGCAAAAGCCTACCTAGCGTGTCCTTGGGCACGACGCCAGGAAGGTCCGCAAGCGGGTCCACAGGCACCTTCACCGGTTGGGCTAACACGTTGCCCATCGGCCTGGAGTTTTAAGGAGCTTGGCAACTGCCTCGACTTTGTGTCCGGAAGCCCTTGCCGATGGGCGAGCAGATGCTGGGGGCCACGTTGCCGAGCTCCCGAGATCTTTTATGTGCAAAGCAAAGAACGCCTTCCAGACGAAGAAATGCTTAAAGATGGACGGTAGGCTGACCTGGATAGAGCACTCCCTTTCCAAAGGCTTTGCTGTCGCAAACCTTGCCACATCATGTACCTAAATAGCTACATCGTTGAAGCTAATTTATGATTAATTACGATGTCCAACAGTAGTGCAGACCGTGTATGTGAAGTAACCTGCCAGTTTAAACTTTACAACTACAAGCTTTCTGTTTTGTATAGAAATAATCCATTAGCAAATTTTGTACATGTAGCTAAGCTAATGCGTGCAGTCTTCATGGCTGGTTGCAAAACAGATTGCGGGTGCGAAGTGCATTTCTGCGTACGACTTACGATTCGCAAAGTTGTCAGTCGCAAAAATTCCGCTATGTTTATATGCGACATACGTGATTCAATCCTCCTGCCTCAGCAATACCATGGGCTCACACACAAGGAAATGCCGAATCTGCTTTCCAGATATGCCTTTGCCTGTCAAGAGGGTCTCAGTGGCATTCTTATCCCTGCCCGCTCCTGCTTCACTGTAGCCTTCTTCTTTTTCGCCTGCCGGCTCCTGCCGCGCGTCCTAGGATTTGCTTGTAGGATACCCCACTACTTCACGAGGCGGCACAGTGCCGCCGGCGCTCTCAACCCGCACGCTGTCCTCTGCTACCACTGAAATTGTACTGAACGACCCTAAGCTGTATAAATTTAACGTGTGCAACTCCGTGCAATGTGTCAAGAAGGCCGAGCCTCCAACGTACTATATCGTGTTACATGACCTCAACTGCTGTTCAGTGTCAGGTGCCGCACCCTCCGATCTTACACAGTCATTGGAACGCGACTCATTCGCAAACCCTGAGATTCAACTGCTGTCCGTAAGCAGTTGTCCTGCAAGACTTCGCTACCCTAGCAGAGCTGTCAGCACCAGGGACTGTTTTACAACAAAATTCACCGTGCTCATGTAATTCGCACCAAGGAGATAAAGTGAAAGTAATAATAGCAACTACGTTTAAGTATAGCTAAGGAATGCGCCATCATGTGCCGCCAAAGACAAACAACGAGGTCGGACAGCCATCGTCCTAGTAAAGTAAGAGAGATGAAACAAACCTACGTGCGCTGAACAATAAAACGACATCGATTGTGCTACTGACAAACTGTTATTATCTTGTTAAAAAGCACACCGATGTCGACCTCACACTCTAGCACTCCTCCCACTGCCAGTGCCGCCACCATCGTTACCAGCAGCATGACCTGCCAAGCAGGAGATTTAAAGGACAGTATTTAATATCATGACTCGCATAATTGCTGTATGTACCTATTAACAATTACATGCTGTCCGGCTTCATTTCATTCAAGCTTGCATCATTATCCTCCTTGCACATCTGCTTCCCTCGCTTGATGACCGTAACGACACATCCCCTTTAATGGTGGCAGGCCCGCACGGTAGAGCGCCCAGAAACTAAAGATTAGAACTGGCGTGGACGATTCCTCGCGCTCGCTATGTCAACCACAAACTGCTGCGGCAACCTGATAGCCGTCCGGTCATCAAGACGATTGTCCCCAACAGGGGTTTACACGCCGTACAGGACGTGCAGGCTAACCCCCCCCCATCTCATCGCACGTCCCCCATCCTTGCAATACGATCAATCACCACCTATTACTCGCGCACCTTGCCGTCCCCCGTACATATCTTCATCAAAATCTGGCTTGCATGGCACACCACCACCTGGCATCCACATCTAGTGCGTATGGCATCACATCGCATCGTGTCGAGCAAACAGCCAAAAGTAACCCCACCGCATGAAACCGGCTTTCGGAATCATTTCAAATTTCCTCCCCAGTACATATTGTTGCCGTTCGTGTGTTGTACGGCGCGTACGATTATTATCCGGCGCACACGCCATGCTCTGCTACCTATCTTCCCAGATTGCCGTACTGCTGCACATGCACGGCTCCTTTGCGTTGTAAAGTCCGCAAGACGCCCTGCATCCGCTAGCAGCTATAGCCTTAAGGGAAGGTCCCCGCAAGCCAAAGACCAACGAGCCGAATACTAACTGAAGCAAACTGAACAAACTAACGGTACAACCGAACACTGGTTGTAACACTTTGCAAGGCCTCCACTGTCCCCACTCAAAAATGCACCAACCGGATCATTTCGAGTACATTCGGACATTCGACAATTGTTATTATGATTGATAATAACCTCTCTTGAACTTGACGGACTAGGACTAGGAAACCTGTCAAGGCTCTGCGACCACCGGTCAGCAGCTGCCGGTTGCCACAGCCTGTGCGGCAACCCACAACTGCCGCCGAGGCCCTACGACAGCCTCTTCGCCTGTTACCTATCATTCAATGCAAAAGTTTATTGTGCCTGCCACCAATACCCCTGCGCACATGCTCGCCTCCCCTGGCCGCTAACACCTTTAGCCTCGTCGTCATCATCTGCCGCGCCTCCTTCAGCCTCGCGTCCCTTTACCTTGCCATACCTGGCCTGTAGCACGACAGCACGACAGGACGACAGCAGAGGTTCGGTCACGGTAGGACCGGACCGAATAAATGGGCTAGGGCCGCTAGGAGAACGTCCCTCAACCAAGGAAAGCGCTAGTCCTTGTACATCCAGTACGCGACATTTCGCCGTACATGCCGTACATAAGGGTATGCGTCTCTAAAACGAGCATGTCCTGCACATACACATATAGCTCTTAGCATCTCTTAGCATCACGCGACGTCCTGTCCTGTGTTGCCAGTGGCTTCTAATTTGAACTACAGAAGCAGCAAGCAATGCGTTGACATCCTGCATATGCGTATGCAGCATCTGCAAACGTCCTGATTAGACGGGCCAGCAGTTCATGACCCCCACGCGTGCTTGTGGCATATGTACATCGCCATATGTGTGTGTGTGTGTGTGTGTCTCGCGCTGCTTTGCAGCCCATGCGTGCCACAACCCCAGACCTGGACGTCCACGGACTGCACTCCCAAAACGGACGGATAGACGGACAGACAAACCGCCAGACAGGCAAACCGGCAGGCAGTCGTTCTGAAGGAAATGGACAGGACACACAGCAAGCAGGCAGGCGGGAACGGTGGACAGAAGACAGGGCGGCAGGTGGGACGCGCATCAGCGCAGTCCAGCCAAATCCTCGCCTCTCTTGAACCCGGCAACCCCGGCAAAACCCCCCGGGGGACCGGGGGCCTGAAAACCCCCCAGGGGGTCCCAAGGGCCGGTGCTGTACAGCGCAGCACACAGCACACAGCATTCTCCACGCAGCACACGCACATGGCACATTGTCCATTAAGTAGTGCGCAGCACACAGCACTTGAAGCGCCATTGCACACACAGAGGTAGCAGCACCTTGTTGCCACAGCGCAACACACAGCACGCAGAGGACGTTCGACTCGTCTGGTGCCCTACCGCCCGCACAACCCCCGGCAACAGCAACAGCAGCAGCAATAGCAGCTTCTCACCACGGAATGTAACAGGAAGAGCCAGAATCCCAGTGTGAAACAAGACCTTTAAATTCTAAAACCCTAAAAAACCCTACTGCCAGGTCTACGGATTCAGCCAACAGCCCGACCGAACGAAGTGTTAGGAAGTAGTGAAGTACGAGGACCCAATTAGAAAGAAGACAAACAAGCGACGCCGTTACAGTCGCGCACACAAAAAGAAAGGATAGCAGCACGACGAGCATGTCACTTGTCATGATCAACACAGCGTACCGACATAAACATCGTTGACCGTACGGTACCGTACCTACATCAACTAGCACAAGTATATCACATATGTATATCTGTATATAGAGCTATCACTGTTTGTGCAGCCTTGCAAACCATTATCTGCCCAACGTGTACACCGCCAGGTTTCCCAACGCAGACGCCAGGTGCAGTGCACAGTCCGTTGTGGCTCGCGGGGACCCCCTACTACCGCGCTGGGGTAAACTCCCTTGTGGTCTGGGGCTCGCTGCACTACTATTACTACTACTGCTACTACTGCTACTACCACTACTACTACCATCACCAGGTTGCGCACCACGAGTCCAACCACTACACACATATCGCGATGCTCTGCTCCAAGGTTGCTACGTGCGCCACCTACCACTGCCTTCAAGCAGCGTCCCGCCTCCCACCACTGCCGCGCCAATCCCACGCTTTCATTTGCAAACCAACCTCCACGACTTTAATGGCGGCCCCACAGGCCCGATGCAGAAAGAAGCCCCCATGCGTTCTTGTGTCGTCATCATCCATTCAATTAAATGCTTTTGTTCAATGCAGCAAGCAAAGCAAACGGATTGCTGAACGTCGTTGCCGTACGAGTTCGTTGCTGTACGCGTGTGCACGCATGCAGCGCTCGCACGCACTCAGGCATGTACACTTAAAACAAGACGGGTAGCGCGCAACCGCGCAGATGGAGTCGCTTCAGGTCCAGGCAGGGGACTCGCGCCGAGCAGCTACGGTTGGTTTAGCTCAGGGGTCGCCCCACATGCTGGCGGCCAGGTGCAGCTCCCGCGCTTCCGTCCGTCCGTCCGTCCGTCCGTTCGTCGACGTGTAACTTCGCGGTCCTGTAGCCCCTCCCAGGGCTTCGGGCGTCCTCAACTACAACAATGATCAGGTGGATCAAAACGCACACACGCCGCTTAAACCACCGGCACTTTGCCGTTTGGTGATGGAGGGAAAAAGCGAAATGGTTCGTAGGTGTTCGAATCATAGGGGCTCGCCGCCACATACACACAGCACGGGTTTAATTATGCCTGCCTTCCTGTAACACCTTACGGCACCCATCGGTCCATCGGCCCGAGGGGATGGCGCCGTCGTCGCCTCTCCGCCACAAACATGGGGAGCGGGTGCAGAAGAAGCACTTGGTTACGCACGCACTCACACCCTAGCCACTACTGACAACAATAACTACGAAAATCAGCACTACAGCACCGATCCTACGCGAGCACGCTCTAGTCCTACTACTGCGTCGGTGACGGTCTGCTTATCCGGCTAGCCTCATGCGCACGAGTACGGCCAGCAACAAGCAGGGATTCGGGAGCTGTTTGCCGTACAGGTCCACGCGCCACACACACACGCATGCAAGAGGTGCACGAGACCATAAAACCGAGTGTTCGGCAGCACTTTTGTATATACGGCAGCAGTTGTAGTTAGCCATCATCAGCAGCAGCAGCAACAACAGCAGCAGCGGCAGCAGCAACAGCAGCAGAAAGGTGTAAGGAAAGTAAGGAAAAGCTGCTGAAGATCAAAGAGAACTTTCCGTGCGGCTGCTGTACATCTCCCAGCGGGACATCTCCCAGCGGGACGCCGCGCATAGCCACACACGTGTACATACACGCACGCACGCAGACATACATACATACATCGACACGCACAACGGATAAGAAGTGGGAACTGCTGCGGTTATCAAGCCTACCCAAACCTGCCAAGCCTCCTCTCGAGTAAAACCCCCCATCCATCAGCCAATATGTTTTTGCTCTCAGATGCAGACCGTCCACAATTTGATGTGGATCGATGCGATGTGAATTTGATCCGTGGATTCAATCGGAAATACAGATGGCGCCACAAAAAACATTATCGCGTTTATAACCCCAATCTCCCGTGATGCCAGCCATTCCCATGCACTTCTTTTCTTTTACCAAAGACTCCTTAAAGTATCCGCGGAAATACAGCAGCAGCAACTGTTGCCAGATGCTACCCCACGCCATTGCACAATAAAATCCAAAACCCCATACCTTGCTCCATACATATATACATGCATACATACATTCGCCACGCACGCACGCACGCACAAGTCGGCGCTAAACGCAGCACACAACGCAACGACCATAACGGAATCATTTTTGTTGTTTTAAAATTGCAAGGGCAGCCGGATGCGAAATTACGTCCTCCCATATGCACACGTGCAAGCGTCCTTAAGCAGTATCGAACGCAGATTAACACTAGTGGTGCTACGACGTATCGAGATGCTGACGTGTTGACATACGGATATACCAAGAGCATGACAAACTATTTAAGTGCCGACGTATTAAGTTGCAGTCGTGCAAAAAATGGATCTAATTGCCTGCCAGTGCAGCGGTAGGGGCCGCAAAGGATACACAGCTGCTGCTGTCCCATGCAGCCTCCCCCGGCCCGCAAACCGATCACCCCAGGAAACTCCAGTAAGGAAAAGGAACACAGCAAGCAGCAGCAGCAGCAGCAGCAGCAGGAGCAGCAGGAGCAAGGACAGCAACAGGAGCAGTAGTAGTAGCAGCAGCAGTAGCAGCAGCAGCACCTGCTCTGTGTGTATGCTGCTGCCAACATGCATGCCGCCGCACAACAACAGCAGCAGCAACAGCAGCAACAACAACAAAATTCCATGTACAGACGATGTATATGTATCTGGGCCAACTAACATCTAATGAAACTGGAAAGCACATCATTGAAAGGAATCCGAGATCGGTTGTAAGAATGCACGTCCAACGACCACTCCAACCAACTTTTTAAAACGAAAGAGGCCTCGTCCCAGGGCGATCTTGTTGACCAAGACTCCGAAAGGCAGCAGTGGCAGTCCACAACGCCAAAGTACGGATGTTAGTCAACAGCCCTCCCTGGTGCAGAGACCCTGCTATGAGCCAGCCTTGCTCTGCACTGCATTGGGGGTACCTACCATCCCCAGGTGACTGTTGGGTTACATGCCGCGATGGGAATGTATACCGCGATGGCAATCTATACTCTATAAACTACACACATCATTACACACTATATTCGAGTTGCTAAACAGCACCGCCAAGGATTGAAGCCACGAGGTGACGTGCACCCTCTACTTGCGCTCTCGTACCCGACATATACAGCTGAATGAGCCCCGGTCCACTCGCCGCGAGCTGCAACGCGGCCCCGCTGACGGCCTGCACGCCGTACAAGTGCTGGTTGAGTGACTGAAGCTGCGAGTGAGTCAAGGCGATGGACTGCGTTACGGGCATACCAGCAGCAGCAGCGGCAGCAACGGCGGCGGCGGGG